TCTTGCCTCTAGCCTCTTTGCAGGGAGTTCTGCTGAAGGGTTCTCTGCTGGGCCTGCAGCTTGGGTCGAATGAGGATCCGCGGGCCCCGGGTCGTCTCACTCATATGCAGGGCCTGTGCTCTGGGTCTATTCAGGATCCGGAGGGCCCCGGGTCATCTCACTCACTCGCCGGGCCTGAGCTCTGGGTCTGTTCAGGATCCCGTGGCCCTTGGTCGTCTCACTCACTCTGGATATTGTCTTAATGTAGTTATTCATAGTGCAAGATGTAGACATTTTTTGTTATATAGGTCTTGCTTTATCTTGGTGTTAACCATCTAGCAGAAAAGTATAAGCACAAAGTATAAAAAGTAAAGCCATATTAATATGCTGAGCTGTAAAAGGCTCAAGTCAACAACTTCTGACATTGCCAGTTCTGCAGGTAACCCAGTACTATTATGGACTACTGGACTATATTGGATTACTTTGCTGAATTCACACACCTACAATATTTGAATGGTGATGGAATACCCATCTCTGACAAAAGTAAACAAAAAAAGGGGATATAAATGAAGGACCATTTTGTAAATACACACACACACACACACACACACACACACAAAATAGTTGGCATAGATACACAGCTATTTTCTCTTAGTTCAATGAGAAGAAATTTTTGAACTAATAGTGTTTAGACAAGGTGGATGAGTTTAGCTGAAGCATGTAGGAAAGCATCACCATCCAGGTGTCCATTGTTTTAAAGAGTTTTTTTCTTCAGTCTTCAGCTGATGTGTTGGCCCTACTCCTACCCCTGATTCCTGAATATCTGTTTTAGGAGGTTTCACAAAGTTTCCAGTATTATATATTGAGAAAATGACCAGAGATTTACATTAAAACATTCATAATTTATTTTATAATCTCAAAAATATGTAGAGATGGTTATAAACTTATCTTTCTTTCACTCAGATGCAGCCCATGCAGAAGTACCAAAACAAAACGTTTCAGATTCAGAGATGAATGAAATGGTGATCTTTCAACAGACTGTGAACTGAATCGTCCACATTTCCAAGTACAATAAACATTCAGTTGAACATTCATTATTCTTCAGAGTCTTCAATATTTTAGAGGCAATGCACTCTAGCTCAATAGACTCTATACACTCACCAGTTGAAATTCTTCTCATTATTCAGTACCTAGTGTCCCTATTCTGCTTTCTAGCTCAATTGATTGACTGATGGATTGCAGTATTGGGGATTAAACCCAAGCCCTTCACATTGAGCTCTACAAAATGCCTTTTCTTATTTTTTATTTTGTGGTGGTATCTCACTGCCTAAGTTGTCCAGGCTGGGTAGGATTTTGGAATCTCCCTGCCTCAGCCTCCCAGAGTGCTGGAATTAATTAGAGACATGTACCACAACTTGTTTTAATAGTTATCCTAAATATTTTTCCTCAGGGGCATTATAGAGTTTCCTATGTAGCATGTCCTGAAGCATAAATTAAATTATATAAAGGTTACTGTAAATTGTATTTGAATATTTTAAATGTTATCCTTGAAATTTTATCAAATTGATATTGTAACTTCTCTTTGAAATAACACAAGGAACTTGTATGTACTCTCCTTACTTACATACTATCAATTGTTCATACTGTGGTAGCCTTGTCCCCTTCTTCAGCCCTTACAAATTAAAAGTATTCATATTTATAGTAACAGTTAATGTAAAATTTAGATTTAGCTACTTCTTTTTGTTAAAAATTCTTTGTTTCTCATTTCTTTGTACATCATGATTATTTTCCCTCTTCCTGGAAATAAATCATTGATTGATTGATTGGTGGGTTTATTGTGGTGCTAGGCAAGTGCTCTATCATTGAGAACATGCCCACTTTGAAGTACACCTTTCATAAGTTCATTTAATATAGTTATGCTGGTGGTAAATTTGTCATTTACCAGAAAATATGCACTCAATTTTATTTTATTTTTTATACACTCAATTTTAAACTCAACTAAATTGATATGCATATACAATCTACTATAAACATTTTATATATGTCTTTTTGTGAATAAATATGGATATATCTTGGGTAAATCCAAAGACTGAAATGGCTTTGAATTTACCTGATCTACATCAAAGAGTAGGTTTTTATCTTAATTTAAAACTAAATTTAGAGGGCCAGCTAGATAGCTCAGTGGATTAAAGTGTCTGCTTGTGCAGAAGGAGGGACCAGGGTTCGATCCCTGGCATGTCTTGCGGGCCCCACCCCCGGGCATGCTGAGACAGGGATTGAGACTGGGTGTGGTGGCTGTAATTCCAGTGCTTGGAAGGCTGAAAACAGAAGGATCACTAAGAATCCAGTCTACATAGTGAGACCCTGTTGACGCTGTACTAAATATATTTAAAAAAAAACAACTAAGTTTAGGGCTGAGGAGGTTGCAGCTCTATGGTAGAGGATCTGCCCAGCATGTCCAGAGAGAGCCCTGGGTTCAGTCCCTAGCACCAAAACAAATGACACCCTTCATAACATTATTTATTTATTTATTTATTTATTTATTTTTATAGTTCATATAAATTTATTAAAATTGGCATCTTTAAACTTCTCTTCAGTGAACATCCATCTGATTGCCTTTGTAAGGATGAACTGTGTACCCACTCATGCCATAGTCCTTAAAGATATCAGTACAAGGAAGGGTTACCTCCATCTCCTCAATCATGATTTCCTTTGAGAGGGAAGTTCAGTCTTCCTGCATTATTTGAACTCGGGCTCAAGTCATCTTGCCTCACCTGTCCAGTAGATGGGCGCAGCCTGGTTTATTTATCTTCAATTCTTAATTCTTTCCTGAAAACTTCTTGCACTATGCATGACAGCCATGGCTGCAAAATCTGGACCAAAGCAAGCCATCCAGATGTGTAATTATTCAAGCAAAGCTGGTCCAGCTAAGCCAGACCCCAGTTACACTGGGCATGGTGGCACACAGCTGTAATCCCAGTATTTGGGAGGCTGAGGCAGGAGAATCGTTGTTGAGTTCAAGAGCAGCCTGGGCTACAAAGTAAGCTCAAGGCCAGCCTGAGCTGCACTGTAAGACTCCTTTCCACTTCTGGCTTTCCCAAGAACCTTTATACCCATGGCTGGAGGCTTAATGTTTAGGACCTTAAGTTCTCATCCTTTTTTGCCACTTAACTGGCCATAAAATGCCATCAAATGCCAAATTCCACGTGTGTAATTCACCGTTCCACAAGCCAGATCAAACCACTCTATTTATAAAGAGAAAAAGTAAGACTAAATTTCAAAACAAGATAATAGGAAGAAAATAATAGTTATTACAGTGTGTATTTTCATTTTTAAATGAGTTACTTGGAGTACAAGATAAAGGCATTTTATTGTGCAGACAATATTAGCACAAACCTTTTGGTTCAATGAACTAAGGAAAATTAGTAATATAGCTATTTTAACTAATATATATATATTTTTTCCTCCTTTTTCTCCACCCCTTTCCCAGTTTCTCTTTCCTTTTGAAATTTCTTCCCTTTTCACAATATCTATCACACATTTTGGATCTTATTTACTCTTTCAGCTTCTCACATTAGGGAGAGAGTATGGTGCTTTCACAGGTACATCTGCTTTATTTCACTTATGTGTACAGTCTTGAGTTATATCAACTTACACTGCCACTACACCCACCTCTGATTTGTTGATAATATCAGTTCTTTCCAGGGTGAGATGGAATCTCAGTGTTATTTTAATTTTCATCTCTCAAATGCCCAGTGATGTTGAACTTCTTTTCATATATTATTGGCTATTTATATTTTTTCAACTGAGAAATGTGTATTTATCTCACATATCCATTTTTAGATGGGGTCTTTAAATTTGGGAGGTCTGCTTTTTATTTTTTATATGTTGTTGATAGTAATCCTTTGAGAAACAAATGGCAAAACCAACTGGTGGGATTTATCTTCACTGTGTTGTTAGTTTCTCTTACTGTGAAAAAACTTTTTAATAAGATGAAATCCCAATTATTGATTCTTTGTGATACTTCCTTTGCTATTGGGGTATTATTCATAAAGTCTTTGTCTATACCAATGTCTTCAAAACTTTTCCCTATTCTATTTTCCAGCTTCTGTTTTAATATGGAGATCCCTTGCAAACTGTGGTACAGGATTACAGGATAAATCCTGAGGGTACTTGAGTGACCTTATCAGATACAAAAGTTATATTTATTGTCATATAGGTCTTGCTTTATCTTGGTCTTCACCATCCAGCAGAAAAGTATAAAAATGAGGTATATAAAGTAAAGCCATATTAATATGCTGAGCTGTGAAAGGCTCAAGTCAACAACTTCTGTGGATAACCCATTACTATCGTGGACTGCTGGACTGTGTTGGATTGTTTTGCTGAATTTGCACACCTATAGCATTTAGATGCTAATGGAATACCCATCTCTGACAGGACTAAACCAAAAAAAGGGATACAAAGGAAGGACCATTTTGTATCTGTATATGCAGAATAGTTAGAATAGATATACAGCTACTTTCGCTTAATTCAATGAGAAGAAAGATTTGTACTAATAGTGTTTGGACAGGATGTCATGTCTGCATCTTGTACTATGGATAACCACTAAGAAAATAACAATGTACAATGTATTAATTATTGAAACTGTTCTATTAATCAGTTTTGAAACTGTCTCATTGATACTTGTTTCTCAATAAAATAAAATAAAAAATAAAAAAATAAACTATAGATTCGCACTCAAAAAAGTATGGAGATCCTTGATCCATTTTGAATATAGTTTAATGCATAGTGAACGATATGGGTCCAATTTTAATTTTTGGCATGTGCACAGTCAGGTTTTTCAGCACCATTTGTTAAAGAGGCTATCTTGCTTCCGTAAATGTGTTTGGCACCTTTGCAAAGATCAGATGGCTGAGTATGTCTTGAGTTGTTTCTACATCTTCTAATTGGTTCCATTATCCTTGGGTCTTTTTTTTTTCCTGGCACTGCACTTTTTTATTGAGAAATAAATATAAATGAGACAGTTTCACAGCTGATTAATAGGACAGTTTTGATAATCAATACATTGTACATTGTTATTTTCTTAGTGGTTATCCATAGCACAAGAAACAGACAGGATAACCTGTCCAAACAGTTAGTACACCTCTTTTTTCTCATTGAATTAAGCAAAAGTAACTGTGTATCTATCCTAACAATTTTGTATATATAAATACAAAATGATCTTTCCTTTGTATCCTTTTTTTTGTCCTGTCACAGGTGAATATTCTATTGGCATCTAAATACTATAAGTGTTTGAATTCAACTAAAAATCTAACACTGTCTAGCAGTCTATAATATTAATGGGTTATCCTCAGAAGTTATTGACTTGAGCCTTTCTTTTACAGCTCATCATATTAATATGAATTTACTTTATATATCTCACTTTTATACTTTTCTGCTGGATGGTTAAGACCAAGATAAAGCAAGACCTGTATAACAAGAAATGTAGGTTTTGTATCTGATGAGGTCAGCCAAGTACTCTCAGGATTTATCCTGTAGCCCTGTACCACCTTTTGTACATTCGTCAGTGTCTGACATGAGGATGAGTCACAGCCATTGCTTGACCTATTTGCTCTCTGTGAAAGCCTGAGAGAATGTTTTTTTCTCTCCATGTGACTCTCCCCAGGCTCACTTTACATCATCAAACACATTCCTCTGTGGCTCCATAATCTTCTTGATCAGAAAATTGGGAGCACAACTGAGTTACATGTTGTTACAGTACAGGTTCTCTTATGTCCTGAGTCTTCACTGACCTTGAAAGGCTAGGGTGCATTTAAAAAAAAAAAAAAAGAATCACAGTAGCTTTATAGTATGATTTCAAACCAGGGATTGTGATATCCTCTGACTTGCCTTTTTTGCCCAGAATTGCCTTTGTTATTTTAGATCTCTTCTGATTCTGAATGAATTTTAACATTGTTTTCTGTAATTCTGTGAGATAAGCTGTTGGAATTTGATTGGGATTGCATTATATCTGACTAGTAGCTTTGAAACTGCCCATTTTCACTGTTTAGTCTTCCTGTGCATCAACAAGGGATATTGTTCCATTTTCTGATAGTCTTTTCTTTTCTTTCTTTCTTTTTTTTTTTTTTTTTTTGCGGTACTGGGCATTGAACTCAGTACCTTGCACTTGCCAGGCAAGCACTTATTTGACTGAGCTATCTCCCCAGCTCCTGATATCTTCTTCAATCTCCTTTTTTAGAGTACTGTAATTTTCAGCATATAGA